AAAGAGAGGTGGGAAGATGGTCATGTAGAAATGAACAATCATTTTTGGCACATGAATCCACACAAACGTCATAAGTGGAAAAAATGAAGGATATCGCCTCTGTCCATAGAAAACCATGTATCTCCATTTTTGTCGATTTTTATTTATCTACATTATTTCTACACACCAGCTGTCCTTTACGTTGTGTACAAATTTCAAGATGAATGGACCAATAGAAATGCTCTAAAATCACTTGGAATAAAATCTCTTTTCATTGACTTACATTAAAAGGTAACAGTGTTTTTGTCTTCTCCTGTAAACTTACTATTTTGGTGATACTTCTTTTTTTTGGACAGTGAATGTAGTATATGGGCCATTTAAAGTTATTTAAAGTTGCCATTTCATAGGTATGAGGTTGACAGGCATGATATATACATTATAAAGACCTAAAACAACCTCGAATTCATAGATTCTGAAACAGGTAGGTTGTCAGTAGGATTTAGGAAAAAAAGCTCCCAGTGCTGTAAAAATACAAAGCATCTCTCTTACATTCAGCTCTGCTCGAAACTGGTTAACCTAACATTCACATTATCCTTTGTTGCTAACCAGTGCTGCAGCACTAACCTTTGCCTTGTAGCTGCATTAATATTCATTCTGTCCCCAGTGCTCTCCAAGAGTCGTAAACCTTTCCATCCAATTAATTACCGACAGCAGGCACAGGTCTTGTGGGAGTATAAATCACACCCAAGTCTCACACAAATCCTGCTGAAACTGACACTCTCAGATGAACAAGAGGTGTGGCCAAAGATTAAACACAGTCTTCAGCAAAGTGCTTACTGTATTTATACTAAGGCTGAAAGTTCAATCGTTTTTTATATCAAAATAGCAATTTAATGGGCATTTTCAAATTATAGCCTACATTATCAGTTTTAAGTATGGAAATTTAACCTAATAACACAGAGATTGTGAACTGCCTGTAGATAAATTAGACCAATCAGAAGCAACCAAACCTCCATGTGTTATGACATCACAACCACAACTTACTGGCACACTACATTCAGGAGTCTAGCCTCAAGCCAGAAAAGTTGGATTGTCTGGTCTTCTGGGCAAAAATAAAAAAAAACAGGCCTGGGACCTTAATTTATAGAAAACAATCGCAACTTAAATCGCAGTCGCAATATTAGTCACAATTAGATATGTTCCCAAATCGTTCAGCCCTAATTTATACCACTTCTATATACTGTATCCGCTTCTGACATGTAATGCATTACCAAATATTTCCTCAGGTCAGAGCACCAGACTTGGATATTAAAGAGCACATGCTATGGAAAGCTGAATTTTTCTCACTTAAAGGGCCCAAGTCTTATATTTCTCTTATATTTTATTTTTCCCAACTTATAATGTCCACTTATATGTACAAAAAAGTGTCATAATTCATTTTTAGACAACCATTTTCCAACCTCTTTTTACCCCTTAGAATTAAACAGGCTGTTCTTGCTACTGTGTCTTTAAGACTGATATACAAAACCATGGTCTGTTCTGATTGGCTGCCTTGTACTGTACTGTACCTCATACAAAATCCAGGCTAAAACACTCCATATAACTTCAGTGTCAATGGGTGGAGTTGAACTCCTGTAGGCCGAAAAGGTGGACATATGTAGATGAGTTCTTTTAACATCACAGAAACACTAAGTTCAAAATGGGCTGATTTGCAGCTTAGTGGACTGGATAGTGAACAGTATGTATTGAAACATTTTAACAATATTTACGTATTATTTCAATATCTTTTTTTTTCATAAGAAGAAATATTGTTTTCTATGATACAGGCCCTTTAACTTTCACTGTAAGTTAATGTAACAACACACTCGAGTCATTCTGGAGCATTTAAATTAGTCCATTCATTGAAATTCTGGCACAGTGCATCATCTGCCGGCTTCAAATGATGAAAAAACAGCAAAAATGGTACAAACTTTTGTTCCAACAGGGACGATACGGAAACCGGGCCTGTTTTGAATGAACTGGTTTTGTGATGTCGCAACAGATTTGCATATATCCGCCTATTCAGCCCTACAGCCAGGAGTTTAGACCCACTTTGAAGTTCTAAGGAGTGTTTCAGCACAGGCTGCTTTTTGAACAAGGGCAGCCAATAAGAGCAGAGGTCATTTATATATCAGTCTTAAAGGCACAGCAACAGACATATCGCTGCTGTCGAAACAAAACCTCATATCTCCATTTTTGTTGTTTTTCAGTTTTTGACATAATTTGAAAGTTGTCGTTGCTCTTTACATTGTGCGTAAATTTCATGATGAATGGACCAACAGAAATGACCCAAAATGACTTGGAAAAAAGTCTGGTTACATTAAAAGTAGAGTATGTTTTTTCCTTCTCCTGTAAAGTTACCATTTTGGAGATACGAGGTTTTGTTCCAACAACAGCGATATGTTTAACCTGCTGGTGTAAAGAGAGGTTGGAAAACGGTCATGCAAAAATGTGTCTTCAGTACACAAATGTTATAAATGGGGGGGTGAAAATTTAGGATATGGGCCCTTTAAGACTATGTGAGTCAGGCCAGCTTGAGAAACAAGGTATGAGTATTTTGCCTATATCAGGTCTCTGTCCATGGTACTGACCTTTATCAAAGCTAGTCTGCATTAATATGATGACAAAGGCTTGACTTGTCTCATTGAGAGACAGTGGGTGGGCTGGGGGGTGGGGGGTAGAGAAATTCAATCCAACATGTGGCAGTAATCATTTTGATCCCCTCCAGCAACGGATTAAGAGCATGCACTCATCTGAGTGTGGAATTAAAATGTATATTTTTTGGATCTAGGTCCGAGAAAGGGGTCAAAGCACAACAAACAAACAAACACGTAACATACAAATGGGTTCTGTGGTCCATGGCAGTCAGAGAACCTCAACCAGGAACGAGGCTTAAGTGGGCTTCCCATTCGCCAGCTTGTTGTTCGAATTTCCCCGTTCCACCTTAAATGGTGAGGCGCCAGAATGTAACTGCTGCACCATTTAAGGTGGAACGGGAAAATTCGAACAAGAAGGTGACTTAAGCTTCGTGAACCAGGGCTGCATTTAAAAGCATGTAAGGGCTGGTCTGAGCTCAGCCTCGCCACACTGACCCTAACGCTGACCAACAGCAGAGAGAAAGCGAGCTAAAGGCGGTGTGCGGTGGCTGTCTGTCCTCACCCAGCATGGAGAAGATGAAATCCTTGGCCGTGTGGATCTCCAGAGCCCTCTGGTCGTCGTACTCGCGCTGGTCGTGTTTGCTGAATTCCTGGATGAGCCGGTTCAGCTCGTCCATCCTCGAGCCGGACCTGAAGTCCAGCTCCGGAGAGCAGACCGGCCTGGACACGCTGCTGCTGGGGGTCGCGGTGGGGCTGCTGCCCAGGCTGCTGACAGATCCAGCCCTGCTGCTCAGGGCAGGGGCCGCCATCTTTCACCACACACTCATACAGGCTCTCTCTCATACACACACGGCAGCAGCAGCAGCAGCTCCTCCCTCCCTCCTTCCCTCCTTCCCTCCTTCCCTCCCTCCACCGGCCTACAGCGTTTCTCCTGCCTTCCTCCTCCTCCTCCTCCTCCTCAGTTAGCAGGTGGTGTTGTGATGAAGCGCTGATCCGTGATGTCGTGCCTTAATCCACATGCAGCAAACATAGAAAACACCAGCAACTCTTTTAAATAAATACACATTCTTTCTGTTTATTTATTGACTTGATAAATACACACACACACACACACACACACACACGTGTGTGTACATTAGACTATTTAGAAGTGTGTTATCTAGAGAGAACATTTCACAACAAAGCATATTTTGACCCCGCCCACCCACGCTGAAGTTATAAGGAGGGTTTCAGCCTCTGCTGCTTTTTGAATGAGGGCAGTCAATCAGGACAGATCTCATTTACATATATCATACATCACATATTATACATCACATATCATATATAATAATGGCACAGGAACAAAAGCAGCCTGTTTAAAAAATAAATAAATGAGTGATTTGAATAGGGATGCCTGAACTTGTATACCATTACACGTGTACACTTGTATACTTGTTTACAAGATGTATACATTATGTTATGTTTGTGTAAACAACCATATATAAATATATAAATGACAAATAGTGGGACCCAATTTGAAAATTTAAAATGGCAAAAATGATTCCCAGTTAAATAATTTTAAAAAGAAACTTATTTACTTCATTTTAAATCTATTAGGAACAAAAATATTCTAATAACATTTTTCCATTTTAAGTGACACTCAAACTCATTTTTGAAGTTGATGTTTTGAAGCTAAATAAATAATAAATATATATAAGCAAATAATGTTTCTCCTGCTTTTTTTGTGTATGGTCTGTGTACTGTCGTCAGAATAGGTATTTTAAAGCTAGTTTAAAAACAAATATTAAAAAGATTCTGAGATTCAACAGTCAGCAGTAATAAAAACTGATTTTTTTCTGATAAAAAAGCATAAAAATATGTAAATATCAGTTATGAGGAACAGATACGTGGACACACTGCAGTAATGAGAATTTGTTAAAGAAAATTTAAAATAGAAAAATTAATAATTTAATGTTTTTTCTGTACCACATAGGGATCTATTGTGTTAAATGAATAATGTTTGTGTGCGTGATGATTATGACACTGCCACAAATATTTATGCCCATGGTTCATAGAAATGACCCAAAAATAAGATCAGGCAATAATGCAGTAATATTCAGTAATAATAAGTATTATAGGCGTTAATTACTGATCAGCATTCCTGTAAATAGGATATTATAGTAGTTGTTAATAATATTATTTATAATAATATCTAATGAATATGCATTATTATTATTATTATTATTATTATTATTATTATTATTATTATCATTAATAATAATAATAATAATAATAATAATAATAATAATAATAGATGCAAATTAGCAACAATAATACAGGAAGAGGGCTTAAAGAACACATCTGCGCATACCGTGGTTTATGCGCAAATCCAGTGCAGCTATGATATTCTTGAAGATGTTGTTGGGTTAGAGGGAAATGTAGTCTCCAGACTGAGTGACTTGGTTTAGAGCTAAAGACGAGGATTTAGACAACTTCTGAATAAACTGCATGTTCATTCAAAGTAAAACTGGATTAAAACGCTCCCTGAACAGACTTTAATCCTGGCAGAGCGACAGTAATGTCCAACAGTCCGTCAGAAGAAGTCTGAATCTGAGTGTTTCTCTCTGGTTTGTTTGCTCCAGCAGGTCGGTCAGTCATGGCGTGGAGGGGCTTCAGACAGTGGAGCAAAGAAGAGCTCAGTCATTCCTCCACACTCTTTACAAAGACCAGGTGAGGGTTTGTAGAACAGCAGTCACTGATTAGCTCATAGGACGTCGAGTCGTTTGATGACATTGAGGAATTTGAGGAGGAGGTCTTAATAACTCATTATGAACTTTGGTGAAGCTTCTCAAGCGCATTTTAACCCTCCTATTATCTTTAAGGTCAGCTTGACCCCGTGGCACGGAGCCCTGCTGGTGACATCCAATATAAATAAAAATATTCTGTGGCCACACCATATTAAGTGATCCTGATGTGTGGCCATGTGTTAGTAAGGCGTTTGAACGAGATAATTAAGTCGTGACCACGACTTAGTAAGGTGTGGGAATGAGATTGTGCCTTATTAAGCTGTGATCAAGGCTTAATCGTCTCATTCGCACGCCTTACTAAGTCGTGGCCATGCATTATTTTTATTTATATGTGATGTCACCAGCAGGGCTCTGTGCATAACAGATGACCATGCCTTATTAAGCCGTGATCAAGGCTTAATTATATCGTTCCCATACCTTATTAAGCACCAGAGGTGCTCTGTAGTAAACATAAACTTAACATGATATGTTTTCAGTGTCTTGTACACATTTTGTACACATCTGTGTTCTTCTTTGGGGTCAGTTTGACCCCAGGCTCTTTTAGCTGTATAATAAAGCAATAAGCCATGAGAGGCCATGGGTTACTGTGATTTTATCACAGGAAGTTGTTTTTAGACGCCAATCGGAGTGCCTGAAACTCCCTTCCCGTGATAAAATCTCAGTAACGCACAGCCTCAAGTGGCTTATTGCTTTTATAAAACAGTGGCCAACATAAAATCTGATAAAATACACAACTTTTCAGAAATTAATTCAGGTTCTCATTAATAATAGTCATCATAAACAAGTATTCCGGCAAGAAATGTAGTTCTTTTAGCATACGGTATTGTGGCCGACTATGGACAGCTGAATGAGGAGATCATCGCTGTAAGACTTTAAGATTTTCTTATAACAATGAAAATATGATAACACAGCACTGTTAAATGCAAAAAATATTTTGCTTTATAAGTACTTTTTGGTCACCAGATTACCACCGCGAACCTTATTTAGCACCAATCCAGCGGCGCCCTCTTCTCATGCTGGGGCTGAATCTGAAATGGATCCCTGCTCCCAACATAGTGCCCTATGTAGGAATTTAAATACTGCAACCCATTGGTTCAAAATACAGCTAAGAAATAGTCATTTGGGACTCAGACACATCTACACTTGATAAATGATGCACTGTTTGGCTGTAGAGGCTAGAATTTCTAAACTTTCATAGGTAGCACACTATTTAGGGAGTACGGAGCTGTTTGGGATTCAGCCTGGGTTTGACGCGACTTCTGAGTGAAGCACAAACACTTAAAGCGTGTGATTAAAGTCATTCAAAGTGACATTGTTTAGACTTTTATATCGCCGTTTCACAGTTAATCATACCGTACTTTAATTCAAGCCTGTGATAATGATGGAGGCTGTTTGCTATCTTTTAGCCTGTTAGCTGTCTGACCAGTCAAATTCTAGTTAAGAACATAAGTTGCCAGCCCCTTAATTTAAACAAAAAATGGGTTCTTAGTTCATCATTATACTCGGTGGTCCATGCAAACAGCATGAGAGTCAAAAATCATTCGTAAAAGTTTCCTCTGGTTTAGTGCCCTGACGTTACCGTACCTGTAGTAGTGTAAGAAACCCAGATAATACCACATGGGGGGACTTAATTCCCATCAGAACTTTAATATTTCCCTGAGGTTTAAATTACTGGGATAAAAGATATCAGTAGATGTGGAGATAACAGAGGGGTTAGCACTGACTCTCTTGTCAGTGTCAGTCCCCCAGACAAGGTCACATTCGCATGTAATACTTACTCTTTTCCAGATTCTCCCTCCATCCTCAGCAGAGATGTGGTTTTCGGAAAGCTCAGAGGAAACCGGAGATCAGGAAAGAGATCCCAGAGCAAAATCCAGCTGCAGATTTGGGTGAAGCCGCAGCTAAGAAAAAAACATTGTCGCGGCACCCTGGGTCGCCTGTCCCACCTCCTAGAAAGCCAGGACAACTCTTCAGACCCCTAGTGTTCACAGTGGGGGTAAGTCTTCCTCAAATCTTTCCAGGCAGATGATCCACAAAGCACCTGAATTAACCCAAGAGGTGGTGCAGAGTACTCATCACCAACATCAATTATGGAAAAAGGTGACGTGTCAATGTGTTGTTTACCTAAAAACCTAAAGCACTATATAATGTCAATATGATACATGCTTTCATTTCAGCAGATTGTAGTTGCCCCAAAAAGTATTTGTGCCAGACTTAAAAATGTACTGTTAGGAAGCAAAATGTTACACCAAGTGGCATTTATTTAAAAAGACTGGCAACGTATTCTTTCAAAAGGCGGCTGTTGGGTTTCAGATCGTTATCAGTTTGAGCAGTTTCCCTGGTGATGCTACAGCCACGGGAGTCCTAGAGAGCACAATTGGCCTCGCTCTCTGGGTGGGTAGGATGCCCCCCGCCGTCTCCCCCCCAGCACCAAGCACGATTCTAGTCAGCGCAGGCGTTTGTTGGCTGATGTAGCAGATCTTGCGTTTGGCGTTTTCCTCCAACTTCGTTCACTTGTCCAATGATGTTGCGTGAGCGACAGTTCGAAAAGATGCGGTGGTGCTTCACAGGCCTTGGAGGAAGCCTGTGTTAGCCTTCGCCCTCCTAGCGCTGGTGGTGTCATGTGATTGAAGGGAGTCCTAACTAGTGGGTGGAATTGGAAACGACTAAATTGGGGTGAAAAGTTGGAAAAAATCAAAAAAGAAAAACAGCCTCAGACTTACATTTCCACCTCTGTGCTTTAGCAGCTGTTCTCAAACTTTTTTTAGTATGAGTGAGTAAAACGGCGCCCCCCCCTCAAACCCCCGCAACCCCCTCCTCCCACTTGTAATCTCTCCCCCTCGTTCATTACTTTAACTTAACAAACGAGAACTGTGTTTTACCAGAACCTTGTTTATGTCCATTTTCTAGCCTTTGACACAGCTATTGCTGACCTGCGCATACAGGAGAAATGGTCCTGTTCTGTGACTTTACAGATAATGTCCAGATTATGGCCATGAAATGAGGCTGGTTGGCATGTATTTCATTTAAATAGCATTTAATAACATTCACCCTTTTTTTTTACCACTTTTTTAGACATGGCCAAAGCAGATTTAATAAAATGACAAAACTAAGTAAAGTTCGAACTTTTCTAGATTTTCCTGTGGCCCCTTTAGAGCCCCCCTGTAGCCCCCAGTATGAGAACAGGGTCTTTTCTTGACACCAAGAGTCTACCATCAGTTTGACGCTGTGCTAAAAGTGTTTATCTTTGAAACATATTGTAATTTTGTCAAACATGTGATGAAGTAGCCTAAAGAACTTCATTGAAGTTTACCAGTGGTTAAAAGGTTAAAGTGTCCAAATACATTTGAGGGGCACTGTAGAGAAAGAGAAAGTGAGAGAGAAAGTGAGCATGACTTCTATTATTTCATTACACCAGAAAAAGAAATTTGGGAGTGAGAGGGAAGAGCAGAAGGTGGTTAGTGGAATAATGGAGTAATAGTCCATAGATCAGTCGATGATGGAAAGAATCTGTAGTGCGGAATCCCTGAACAAGTTTCTGTCTACAGAATATATGGATAAGCATTAACCGATACAGTACACAAGGCGTTGTGAGAGGCCGCTCTAATGCCATTTCAGTTTACAGGCTGCTCCTTCGGCGCTGCCGCCATCCTACAGTACGAGTCGGTTAAGTTTCGAGTGGAGACGGCCATGGAGGAGGCCAAAGAGGAGAAGCTGAAGAAACACGAACAGGTACGATGTGGCAAAGCAAGTTTATTTACAAAGCACATTTCATACACAGAGGCATTTCAGTGTGCGTCATACACCGATCAGGCATAACATCATGACCACCTCCTTGTTTCTACACTCATTGTCCATTTTATCAGCTCCACTTACTATATAGGTGCACTTTGTAGTTCTACAGTTACAGACTGTAGTCCATCTGTTTCTCTGCATACTTTGTTAGCCCCCTTTTACCCTGTTCTTCAGTGGTCAGGACACCCATGGACCCTCACAGAGTAGTTACTATTTGGGTGGTGGATCATTTTCAGCACTGCAGTAACACTGACGTGGTGGTGGTGTGTTAGTGTGTGTTGTGCTGGTCTGAGTGGATCAGACACAGCAGTGCTGCTGGAGTTTTTAAACAGTGTCCACTCACTGTCCACTCTATTAGACACTCCTACCTTGTCAGTCCACCTTGTAGTTGTAAAGTCAGAGATGATAGCTCATCTGCTGCTGCACAGTCTGTGTTGGTCATCCTCTAGTCCTTCATCAGTGGTCACAGGACGCTGCCCACAGGACGCTGTTGGCTGGATATTTTTGGTTGGTGGACTATTCTCAGTCCAGCAGTGACACTGAGGTGTTTAAAAACTCCAGCAGCACTGCTGTGTCTGATCCACGTCAGTGTTACTGCAGTGCTGAGAATGATCCACCACCCAAATAGTACCTGCTCTGTGAGGGTCCATGGGGGTCCTGACCACTGAAGAACAGGGTAAAAGGGGGCTAACAAAGTATGCAGAGAAACAGAAGGACTACAGTCTGTAACTGTAGAACTACAAAGTGCACCTATATAGTAAGTGGAGCTGATAAAATGGACAATGAGCGTAGAAACAAGAAGGTGGTCATAATGTTATGCCTGATCGGTGTATAAATAAAACCAAAAATAACTTTAATAGAAAATAAAGATAAAGTGCCGAAGAGTGAAAAACAAAATAGGCAGTGTTACTCGAGTCTTCTCCAGCAGCCTGAGTGAGGAAGACCACCAGCTGTGCTAGTGTTTAACCTCTAGGAGAACTGATTAAAACTGGGATAGCAGTTCTACTCCAGTCTTTCCCAGCACCCCGAGTAAGGAAGACCACCGCTCTTCAGCGGATGAACAGCAGACGTAACAAGATTATACTTTGAAGGAACACTGTTAGTGTGTGTGTCTGTGTGTGTGTGTGTGTTTGTATGTATATATATATATATGTGTGTGTGTGTGTGTGTGTGTGTGTGTGTGTGTGAGAGAGGGTGGACAACATGGACAGGCTGCTGACTGGCTGCTACAGCTGCTAAAGGAGAACCCTACACTGGACACTTGTGATATTTTAAACATCTGGTATTTTTGCTTAAATTGTTACGGCTGTATTGACTTAAAAACAAACACATCAACACCACACAAGGGTTAACCTCCAAGAGAGTTGATTAATCTTTCCTGAACAACATATAAACTGTTGGATTGACACTGAAAAATGTTAAACTGAAATATAAAATTAAAATAATAAAACATGCAGAGTAAAAGAAATAGAATAGAGTAACAAAATGCTAAAAATAGTGTAATAGCTTTTTATAAGGAAATAAAATTAATAATTAAATGGATAAATAAAAGCAAAATAATAAACATAAAAAGGAAATTAAAGGCAAAAAGGTTCAAATTACCTTATTAAATGTGTGATGCTAAAAATAAAGTGCAGTAGGAACAAAGTGCAAGTCTCTGAGCTCAATTACAGGCACATGAAAAGAGCGATGTTCTTAACCTGGATTCAAAATCTGCTACATTTGAGGCTGATCCAAGATCTTCTGGCTGTTTGTTCCATTTGTAGCAGCATAACAGCTAAATGTTGCTTCACCATGTTTAGTTTGGACTCTGTAGTTTTTTGACACATTTTGTCCATAACAGTCCAGTGATATTGCTGTTGATCTGGGTTTGCACAGAGCCATGACACAGCGTACTGGCACAATTGGTGGAATCAGCTGTCAGACTTTCAGAAGCAGGTGATCCTGCTCATGTCTGTCGTGGATGACTGGTGGAGCAGAAAGACTGAGGGACAGAAAACAGTCATGGGTGAGTGTGGAACCTTCTACATTTGGATTTCTTTGGTAGTTCTGGAGGTTTCGTGGAGCACAGGTGATTGCACAGCAGTATCTGGTCTGGTACAGGATCTTGGACACAGCTTTTCATCCGGTAACAAGATTTATTTGTGCTTTAGTCGTAAAATTAATAATCGTCATTCAAATATTTGTTGAATCCAGTAAAAAAAATGCAAATTGAACGTGAAGTTAAAAGCCTCCTGTGTGTTCCAGACCAGTAACATTATCACAAATGATGACTACCAAACGGAGGCAGCTGCCATTGCTCGTTCACATCCTATACAGAGAACACACTTCTGCTCATTTTAATACACAGTAACTGTTCCTTTGCTGAATTTTAATATATCGGGGAACAAATTAAACATAAAATGTGGCCTGTCCAGAGTTAAGGCACATTTTACACTGCAAAAAATGGTGTCTTATCAAGTAAAATTATCTTAAATACAGTGAATAAATCTAATATTTCTCCTGTTGAGGTTGTTGTAAGCTTAATTTAATTTTTGTATCTTATTTGGAGACTATTTATACTTGTTTTAAGTAATTTTATTAAGGAAATGATCCCACCATATTTGCAGATAATTTTGCTTGTTTTAGGAAATTTGCTTGAAACCATCAAAATTATCTGCCACTGTAATGAGATAGTTTTACTTAATAAAATTACTTAAACCAAGTGAAATTTTTAGAAATAAGGTAAATAATCTTATAATAAATGCACAAATATTAGATTTTTTGACTAGGTTTAGTTTCATTTTACTTATCAAGATACTATTTTTTGCAGTGTATATTTTATGGTTTTCAGTATGTTAAACACAGTAAATAAATAGAAATTGTGCGCAAAGATTTACAGAAAATGTCATATTTAAGGTTGTTCTTTGTAGAGGATGTGTTGACTTATTTTCAACAAAGCATGTAATTTCACCAGGTGTGTCCAAACATTTGCATACGACCATAGGTGGTGAAGTTTTGTTCATTTTTATATGGATTTAATTTTTTGTGCCAAAGGTTTCAAATAAAATAATCCACAAGCAAAAAGTTAAGAATCAAAATGTTGAAAATATGTTGCAAATACAGTGATTCAAAAAGATTAATCCAGTTTGATTTATTTCACTGGTAAATCATTACAGAACAATGCAGTGAACTGTAAATGGTTTAAATGAGCTTAAAGTTTATTATGTAATTTTACAAGTGCTCAGTATGAACCTCCTCCAGCTGTACGGACAACATCAACACCATAGTCAAACTCATCCCATACTCGATTGAGCATGTCGGGTGTCGCTGCACTCACGGCTCTTTCAGTGTGATTTCGAAGATCATTCAGTGTTGTGGAACCAACGCCGAACGCTCTGAGCTGCAAAACGCTTTCTGCTCAGGGGTCTCATCTCCTCTCAGACTGAAGGGAGCCATCTTCCAGTGACAGTCAGAAGCTCTATGACATCCTCTTTCAATTGGTATGTGATTGGTTCCTAGGCGCCTCACGTTTATAAATATATGGTGCTTTGAAATTGGATGAATCTTTTTGAATCACGCTGTATAATGAATATGATGAGTGTTAAACAGTTTTTCAAAAAGATTGCGATTTATTTTTTTACCCAATTTGATATAAATGTATTACTGAATCGTTTTTAGCTTGTGAAAGTGAAATCACTCTTTTGCTTCAGAAATCTTTCTTTTGGTTGTGGCTTGACATTTTCATGGGGACGGGTCTTAGAAAAGGGCTTTCATTTGTACTGTATATTGGTCATCTGATTTGGAGTGACAGGTCCTTGTATGCATGGCCACACCCACTCTGTGAGGTTTGAACTGCCCTAGTACAACAGTAAGTCCTACCACACCATATCGATGAGTCTTGAAGACCTGGATGCGTTTTGAGGAGGCTGAGAGAAGCTTTCAGTATTGCTTTTATGCAAAAAAATCGGGTGACTATTGACTATTGACATTTAGTGTTTGTTAGCAACATTAGCCTTGTGGCCCCTGTACCAAACTAAAGAAGCAAAATTTGGACAGCACACGTCTTGGCTGATCAACTACGTCCAAACTGTTCCTTTAATTAAACACCACTAACTAACTGACCTTGTCCTCAGATCACTGCAGACCTACCAGTGAGGGGTCGTATGTCTTGGTTCTGTTTTGTTCACTAACATACTTTTGTTTTGCTCCTCAGGTATCATAGCTCTGAACACTGTAGTGCTCTGCTGTTGGAGAATTCCTTACATGCAGCGCAGCATGCTCAAGTACTTCACCTCCAACCCTGCTTCAAGTGAGTGCATGTCATGTTAGACAGCTTCCTTAAAGGGGAATTCCACCAGTTTTTCAAAATTTTTGTATGATTAAATGGTTGTAAACAAAGTCATTCAGAGTGGTTTGGTGTGAAATGCTTCATTGTGGTGATGGGAACCAGACGTCTGAAGCATTTAATGCTTCAAAAAGCTCCCTCATAGAAAGTTATTACATGAAATGGTTCTGAATACTCAGATGATGTTTGAGACATTGTTTTACAGTAGTTTTGTGATAAAGTTTTAGTCTAAAACATGTTAATCAAATTATTTTGAAGGCTAATACATGAAGGCTGTTGTGAGTCCCCAAAGAAAGCTCTTTTTTTCAGATTAACCACTATTTTACCATCATCATCATTACATATAAAAACACGTGTATGTTCACTGGTGGTTTTGGATAGTAAATAAAATGCCTGTATTTGTGTTGTAGTCATGGTGACGCCTGGTTCTTATCACCACCACTGTAAAGAAATCTGAAACTGTGAGTTTCTCTATAATTAACCATTTCACACCAAACCACTCTGAATGACTCTGTTCACAGCTCACCCACTGAATTGTGCAGACCTTTTGAAAAATTGGTGGACTTCCCCTTTATGGTTTGTGTCTTCACCTTTGCTTTTGTTTGACCCTGATACTAATGTACTTTGCTTTTTCTGCCTGCTTTTAGAGACACGGTGCCTTCCCATGGTCCTCTCTTCATTTAGCCATTATTCCATCCTCCATATGATGGCCAACATGTACGTGCTGTGGACCTTCTCCACTAGCGTAGTCTCTCTGCTCGGCCGGGAGCAGTTCCTGGCTCTCTACCTGTCTGGAGGTATTTTTTTAGGTTGACCTCCACAAAAGTGGCCCTGTCGGTCAAGTAGGGATGAAAGATAAGGTGATGTCATGGCATTATGTCATGATAAGCGTCACTAAAGAGGCTCTGGAGTAGTGTAGCTGCCAGTTTTTCTGTCTTGTTGGGAGATCATGAGAATGAATCACAACAATGGCAGGAGTCCAAGACGTAATTGGCCTGGCCTGACTGGATGTAGTGCAGCGCGGTATGTGAAACGTTGGTTGGCCGCAGCTAATATTTGTTCCACAATCAGTTAATCAGTCCATTATTATTTTGATTAAACAGGAAAAGAAGAAGGACAGTTTAATTTATCAAAAATTAACATAAAATATTGAACATATTTAAAATATTTAATTTTTAAAAACAAAAATATACAAGAATTAGTTTAATTTTGCCTGGTGCTCTTTCAAATATAAAACACCAACACTGTCTTTTAAATCATATTTAAAAAAAAACAAACTTTTATCAAGGGCATCTTCGTCGTTCATCCTGAAACTGCTATTGTAATCTGTGTCAAAAGTGTAAAAACAGTAAAGGGACAAATTATGTCCCCTCTAATAATATACAGAGCTAGATAACGGTCAATAACACCCATAATCAAACCTGATATGACCAACCATACAGAAGTCTGGTCATCAGCCATGTTAAGGCCTCAGCATACTTCTTGCGGAGACGACGTTCGCCTGGCTTCAGCGAACAATACAACGTAATTGCGGAGGAAAAGAACAACCGCAGATGTCACGTGGAGGCTTCGTTCGCCGTGTCGCGCACATGGCAGCTGGGCGAACTCCGCGGATGAAGATGCTATGCGACAAAGCCTCTGATTGGTCGGTAAAAAAAAAAGAGCCGTGTCATTTAACAAAGATGGACAACTTTGAGGAGCTTCGGCTTTGGCAGACACACTAATTTTTCACTGTAAAACCTGCATTTGTTAAATAAACAATGAATATCTCCTAAACGTAAGATGTTAAGTCTGTTATTCGATAGTACTAACTAGTACTAAGCACCAAAACATACAGGTTATCTTATATTTAGGTTCACAAGAGGACGAGGCTGAAGTTGGCTTCCTGTTCACCAGCTTCTTGTTTGAATTTTCCCATTCCACCTTAAATGGTGGCAGCATTCTGAACTCAAACGTCGCCATAGTTACAACAGTGAAAGAATGATTTTTCAGGAATCGTGAAACTTATCATAAAATATCATAACATCACGTGAAGCATCCGCGACAGGCAACACGAAACCGCAGAAAGTATGCGAGCTTGTAAGCTCGCAAAGGTGTTTTCGGCTTCGCACAACCCTCGAGAATTTTATTTCGTAAAAAGTACGCTGAGGCCTTTAGACATGCCTGACGCTCAACACGGCACCGAGCACATGTGGCCAGCAGTTCCAGAAATATAGATTACATTTTTTCGTCCACACAAAACCATAGAAAATGGAGTCTTGAGAGAACGTTTCAGAACAAATCAGGTTTACATCACAATAGCAAAGAACTTACTTCTGGCTGGATAATGCAGGCTGCACTGCACTGGTATAACAGGATTTGTACTAATCCTGAGATTTATTTATACTCAAGATATCAGAAAAAGCTGACCTTTCCAGGTCAATAACTTCAAAAATGTCTGTGGTTAATTTCTGTCATATAATCATGAACATTCCACACATTTAATTGCAGCGTTTAATAAAGAAGCATTCGTTTTATAGAGGAGCTTTTCTGCTTCACATTCAGAAACAAACCCTGACACAAACATGAACCAACTAACAGTTCTAGTTCCAATCCTAGTTAGTTTCCCACCTGCTGAAGAGACACCTGGAACCATTTATAATAACCACAATTAAGGACTTAATGGACCTTTTTGGTTATTTTTTAGTCTTTTGGTTAGTCTAAGCATCTAATTTGGCTAATTAGCTACCTTGCTTGCCAGTTATCTTATCTTATTGGCTGTAATACAACAGTTAGTTCCGGCCACGCAAGCTAATTGGTTGAGACGCTTTCTAACGGTGCTGTTATTTCGCCATAACAGCACGTTTTTCACAAACACTGTATCACTCCGCTGAGACGCCGTTGCTAAGCAACGACTTTGACAGCTGTAGGAGACGCTCAAGCCCATTTGAACATTTTTACTTCTTACTTTGAGCACAAACAGAAAATGGACACTTTTAAGGTCACATTTGACCGACAGCCGATTTGGTCAGACTCTGAAGATGAGACGACGCTAAATTCCCAAACTGTCGTCACCACTGAGCAGCTTTTCTGTCGGCAGCTGTGACAGAAGAACAGCTAAACAACCTGGAATCAACCAGAAATGAACCCAATACCATTCGCCAAACTAAATGGGCTGTAAGATGCTTTACAGACTGGCTGGAACAAAACAACTTTAATATTGATCAGAAAAAATTGACAAAACTGAGCTAAACTTGATATTGCGGCAGTTTCATGGCTCAGTCTGATTTGGTCCGACTCTGTAGATCAGACTAACGTTAGCTGCTTATAGCTTATGTAATCTTGGGGTAAACTCTGTACAAAATAGTAATACTTCTAAAAATAGCAATCAAAACATCAACATACCATCCTAGTTTACATTCTGGTGCTCTTATCAGTCGTGTGATAGTGCTTGGCAACTGGAAGAATAATGGTTCGCTAAATTGTTGTTTACTTCAGCTGCATGTGTTACCAAAGACAGTGATTAATACTACTTATAGCAGCTCTACCTGCTTTTGAACAGTGGAAAATGTTGAATACGTTTGACATCACAGCCTCAAACACACGATTTTACCATTGTTATCAATGTTTTATCTGTTATGTTTTTATTTATTGTAAACTGAGCTGTAAATTGAGCTGCTTCCGTGCTGACTGGATGCACGTTATCTACCTGGAAGTATAATGTTTACAAACGCTCTGATTTGGTCTATAAAACTGTGGTTCTACTGTCTTAGTTACTCACCACACTGAGCTTCTGCCGTAGATACAATGTTTTCTGCTCACGCATTGAGGTAAGCTCAGTTTTACACAGTTTACAGGAAATGTAATTTTAGGTCATGTTAAAATGGCTTTTTTGGTTCTGTACAACCCTCAACCCTGGACTGCAGTCTCAGCCGTCTATCTTTTCTTTTAATTAAGTGATGCAGCATTAGATGGGAAATGTTGTCAAGCCAACTAATTGATAAGATTCTTTGCCAACTATTTTTAAGTAGCAACTAGTGCTGGGCAATATGACCTCAAATCAATATCACGAGTAATTGAATGTTTTACCCGATTATGATTAATGAACAATTATTTTGTTTTTGTTTGGTTTTTTGCCCTCATAGTTCACTGACAAGGTTTGTACTGTAAATATGCTCTGCATATTTTATGTAAATCGTCTCAACAGCCAGATCGGAATTCACATGACTTTTACATCAATTCAACTCGACATTCATCATAATTTCGCGCTGCTGAGACCTAATAAACCTTTAGGGTGATATTTCTGTACAAAACTTAGAAGAGACGTATCCAAAACACCTCCCTGTTTGAAGAGATTTCGAAAAAACTGTCCAAACGCTGCCACAGGAGAGCGAGGCCACAGCGTTAAGGAACAGTTAGAAGTCTGAAAGCAGAGTTTGAAGAATCCGAGGACGCAAAACCAAAGAAGTGATCACGCCCTTTTTACGGCGAGCTGAACACATTCAGGATGATGAGCCCAGCTGTCAGTCAGTGAAGCTTCATGATGGCTCCTGTGATGCTGGCGAAGATGAAGCTGAACCCTCCGGGAGCGACTGGCGTTTGTTAGCAGTCATGATTGTTTACCTCTGGATGAGCCACGCGAAGCAACGTGATACATTGTTCTTTTGCGCATGTGGGTCAGTTTAGGAGCTGATCTTCTCGGACTGATGTCGCATACAGATCACATTTAAGAGATAATGTGAACAGCCAAACAAAAAAATCGGATTTGTTAGAGGTTCTGAATGTCGGTTTTGATTACTTTTCGATTAATCGTCCAGCCCTAGTAGCAACGTTATCAATTTTATCAGTTTGGTGTTGCAGCCCTACGATGTTGAAAAAAAGGATTTTTAGATGTGCAATTACAAGCATATTGTGTGTATTATAACATACACCGATCAGGCATAACATTATGACCACCTCCTTGTTTCTGCACTCATTGTCCATTTTATCAGCTCCACTTACTATATAGGTGCACTTTGTAGTTCTACAGTTACAGACTGTAGTCCATCTGTTTCTCTGATACTTTGTTAGCCCCCTTTTACCCTGTTCTTCAGTGGTCAGGACCCCCATGGTCCCTCACAGAGCAGGTTCTCTTTGGGTGGTGGTAGGAGTGTTTAATAGAGTGGAAAGTGAGTGGACACAGTGTTTAAAAACTCAGACCAGCGCAACACACACTAACATACCACCACCACATCAGTGTTACTGCAGTGCTGAGAATGATACACCACCCAGATAGTACCTGCTCTGTGAGGGTCCATGGGGGTCCTGACCACTGAAGAACAGGGTAAAAGGGGGCTAACAAAGTATGCAGAGAAACAGATGGACTACAGTCTGTAACTGTAGAACTACAAAGTGCACCTATATAGTAAGTGGAGCTGATAAAATGGACAGTTAGCGTATAAACAAGGAGGTGGTCATAATGTCATGCCTGATCATTTAGAATGAGTGATTTTGCAAATGAAGAATAAAGGAATAAGGAATAAAGACATGATCTGTATATCAGAGTGCTGTAATATATTAATCATCATCTCATTGTTAGGTGTGTTCTCCACTTTCATCAGCTACATCTGTAAAACAGCCACAGGCCGCCTGGGTCCGTCTCTCGGAGCTGTGAGTCTTCTGCTCGTCTCTAAACAGTTTTGTTATCTATGAAGTCAGTTAAAGGAGATGAACAGGAAGAGTTTGACACCTCATTCATAAGACACCCAGAGAGTGCTGCATCTTCAGTCATGACCTAATCAGAACAGATGTGCAGGCTGGGTTTGACGCTTCATTCATATAGACACTCCTATATCTTCATTCATTACAGACGAGGCTTCACAGCAAAATGTTAGCTGGTTGTAGTAAGTAGCTCAGAAGTTCGCTTAATTTACAAATGCAAGGAATTTTTGATAGTACTTTAAATACATTGTTTATAAATGCATTTTATGAATTGATTGTAAATATATACATGTATAAGTTAGCATAAAGGGCTAACATTTTCTTAATTATATTGTAAAACCTGACTTTTTCCCTTTTTCTTATGTGATGACTTTTTTCAACTAGATGACACAAATTTGGTTGTTGATCTTACTGTAACTTCTAGCAAATCTATAGATGCACCTATAGATTAACATCTTGCACATCTTCTATCCATATCGTGTATAATCTGGAATATATATATATACACACACACACACACACACTCATATATATATATATATATATATATATATATATATATATATATATATCAATATGCTATCCCCTGTGTATCCTGCATCTCATTTATCTCAGACTCACCGATTGCTTAAATGGAAATGTGTACAACTGTACATATCATAGCTTTTATTTCATAACCTATATTGCTGTTACACAACTGTACATTAGAAGGGTGCAATACTGTGAAGGGTGTGTGTGTGTGTGTGTATATATATATATATATATATATATATATATATATATATATATATATATATATATATGTATATATATTAGATTATATTTATTATAGTATATATATGTATAAGATTTTCAATCACCTTCGCACCTGTGTAAAAGCGTTGTGCAAAGAATGTGATTTGAGATAAATGTATAAAATCATTTTAATATTTGAGAACTGTGCAACTTCACAGGTTTCAAATAACGAGTAGGAAGCTGTAAAAAAATAAGAAATGTTAGATGTGTCCAGAATAATGAACAGAGTTGCTGACAAAAAATATTATAAATAGATAATTGTTGTCTTTTATTTATCATTTAATAAGTTCTCATTCTCAAAATAAATAAAAGAGTGAATAAAATATCTAAAAATACATTTTGGTATTACTTACAGTACTGTGCAAACGTCAGATAATGCCCTTCATTTATTGAATTTCCAGTCAAAACAACTAATAAGTACACATTATTCATTTTTCAGGGGATTAGATATAAAGTTTACTTGCATATGGAAGGAGAAAGTCAAAGACAAATAAGTGAACAAACAGGAGTTTCCAGAACTGGAGTTAAAAATGATTAAATGCTACAGAGAAAATGAGACTCCTAACAACCACCTGGAAGAGCTGGTAGACACCAAAACTGCCCCCATCAGATAAACAGCACTTAAAGCTTTCATCTTTTAGAGAGAGGAGGAGAAAATGAATAACTAGTACTTAATGACCGTTTTGACTGGGAGTTGAAGTAATTCAGAACTTTTAAATGGTAGTGTAAGAGTCTAAGGTGATGCTGAAATGATGATGTGTTGTGTAGTCAGGTGCAGTCATGACGGTTCTGGCTGCTGTGTGCACAAAGATACCTGAGGCTAAACTGGGAATCATCCTGCTGCCCATGCTCAGCTTCACAGCAGGAACCGTAAGTGCCTGTTTGAGGTTTATTTTAAAGGGGAATTCACTGATTTTTCTACATTTCTGCATAATTCAGATGTAAACAAAGTCATTCAGAGTGGTTTGATGTGAAATGGTTCATTGTAGAGAAACGTATCGACTGAGATTTCCTTTATAGTGGCAGTGATGGGCAACTTTCGGAACTGCTTTGTGAATGAAACTTGCTGTGAGGGAGCTTTTAGTGGCAGTAAACTCTTCAGACGTCCGGTTCCCATCACCACCACTGAGAACAGTACTGACTCTGTTTCTCTAGAGTGGTCTGTTTCACATCACACGTTCATATCTTAATCATTTAATTAGGCATACATTTTGAAATTGGTAGATTTCATGTGTGTGGTTATATATGCTTATAAACATATATAAACTGCAATAATAAGCAGAAATTAATACAGATAAATGAAGAGGGCAGTGAGAAAGAAAACAGTGAGTTGAACTAATACAGAATCTCTGCTGTTCTCTAGGCACTGAAGGCTCTTGTTGCCTTTGATACAGTTGGCCTTCTTTTGGGCTGGAGAATGCTGGACCATGCGGCCCACCTTGGGGGAGCGCTGTTCGGAGTGTAAGTGTCTTATTGCTCCTCACCTCCTTTATACATTCCTACACTTCATCATTGCTCTGTCTATTCTAATGTCTTCATACCATTGTCAGAAATGAACCAGGGTTGGGGGCGATAATTCCAGAAATCCGGAAAAGTTTTAAACAAAAAGGCATTTGATTTTGTTCCATTTTAAGCTATTTATACAGAGATACAGTTGTAGTGCCTCTGCAGCCACTGTAACTGATAGCCTAGTTCAGGGGTCGGCAACATGCGTCTCTTTTACTGCCCTGTTGCGGCTCCACAGCAGGATTAGAGTTTTAGGTAAAAGTAAAATAATCCTCCTTTGCAGTAAAATAAAGCTCTGCTGATCGTTCAGCACAGTTTTAACAATAAATGGTCTTAAACGCTGGAGTTAATGTAGAACTGCTAATTCACCCTTTAACCCTGAAGGCTAGCGCCAGACTGCTGGTCACCATAATAAGGCAGACAAGTCTTACCTAGCTAGTAGCTAACAAAAAGGTAAAGAGAAAGATTTAAGACAAGCATTGAGAATTTGGAGACGAATGGACTTATTTGCATTTATAATCACTCCAGCTGGTTTCCTGATACGTTTAATCTGCAACGAGAAACTGTCAAACAGTAAAAAGTCACAAAGCTGAAATCAGCTTCTTGTTCAAATTTTCCAGTTCCACCTTAAATGGTGCAGCAGTTGCATACTGGCGCATCAGGCACCATTTAAGGTGGAACTGGAAATTGAAGCTGGCGAACGAGAAGTCGACTTCAGCCTTGTAAAAAATCAAACATTGAGAAACAAGAAACTGTTCTATATTTGCGGAAACGTTTCCTGCCGGAGATGTGAGAAAAGCAGTTATAGCTGAGCTAAAGCTTAAAGCAGAACAAAGTAAGTCTGCGTTTTCGTTTATATTTTTAGTCTATGCTAGTTGCACATATTGAGTCATATTTATAGCCATATTTACAGCCAGGATGGTAAAATGGATAAAAAATGTTGTGGCTTCCAGTGTGGATTGATTTTTGTTGAAAGGACAAAATGGCTCTTCTTAACATTTGGGTTGCCGACCCCTGAATCATCCAGCCACACGGTTGAAACATGGAGTGCTATTTGCTTAAATGACTCCGTTTTGAATCTGTTTTTATGTCAGTGAAGCCCTCTGTTATTTGTATAGTTGACACTGAGTCAAATGTGGCGTAGAGTAACTGTTAGAACATGTTTGTGATTACAGTTGTATGCTGTGCATTGTTTTTATAAAGTTAGAGAAAAACACTTTAATAAATGCCAGGAGTGCAGTATATCAAAAGAAAAAATGCTTCTATAAGTTTTTTTAAAGTGTCCATATCATGGAAAAATAAATTTCCCTCACTTTTTTGCAATAAAGGAGTTTGATACAGTATTTAAACATTGTTAAAGTTCCCATGTCCTACATTTTTCTTGTACTGTGTAGGTACATTTTTCATTCATCAAGGTACAAACAGGGTCATTTTCCCCTTAAAGGTACAACAGTGGCTTTAAGGTCCAATTGTGCACCTTAAATAGGTTTTTCAATGTGAAAAGTTCATATTTGTACCTTTTTCATAAATGTTTTAAAACAGAACAATAAAATAAAAGCCTGGAGACGAGACGGGGTGTGTGGAGTCAGTACAGCTTAGAAAATATCATTTCAGTGGATTATGGTTCAGTTATGTTCCCTGACTAAAGGTACTGAGATGTACCCTTGAGGGTCCCACCCCAGTGACAAGAGGGGTACTGCCCCAGTGACAGTTTACTACGTTTTTCTGCAAGTGAAGGTCCATCTAATGACCAAAATGGTCATAATTCATTTTTACATGAGCATTTTCCAACCTGTCTTTAAACAGGCTGTTATGGTCCCTGTACCATTAAGACTGATATATGTAAATGAGCTCTGTTATAACTGGCTATATTATTTTTTTGGCTATAATAATTATACACCTACAGACAAGTATATTTGTAGGAGCATTTGTTAGATTGAATAAGTGAAAGTTAGGTTGTGGTTCATGAACACAGTACACAGCCGTAACGTTTTGGTCTGCTTTCTCAAATAAAATGACCTTAAAGCTGCACAATGTTGGTCAAAACTGATGAAGCAGCATTGCTGAGTCAGGAGAAAAAAACAGGCTAAAATATGGTGAGTGTGCGCTGCTGCAAGCCGCCCTGTAAAGCCTGAAATAATCATTTAAAAGTCAGAGGCGTCGGGTCGCGGGGCTTTCGGTCCACGTCATGTGTTCATACGTCAGACTCAAAAAGAAGATCTGGCTTGATGTTCAGGTCTCAAATTCAAAGTCAACATTATACGGATTAAGATATGATGACAGTCGTAGATGATTCACTCACATCCTCAGAAACACGTCCTTCACCAAGTTTTGACTGAGTTCTCTTTGAATTCTCTTTCAATGCGCTCGTAATTACCAGTTTCATCTGCTTGGCGAAGGAGCCCGAAGCACAACCCATGCTACAAAATGATCTTCCGCACTTTGCATGCAATTACACATTTCCACCAGAGAGGTCCCCAAATCCCCGAAACTTACGTAGTGTAGTTTAATAAATGTCAGAATTGGTCTAGAAAATTAAATCCAGTGTGAAAAAAATGTTGGATTGAAAAGCCAGTAATAAATCATTTGAGATGCTTTACCCACATCTCTGCTTTCTTGTGTTTCTCTGGTCATCTCAGATGGTACATTTCCTACGGTCATGGCCTGATCTGGAGAAAGCGGGAGCCACTGGTAAAGTTTTGGCATGATTTGAGAAAAGGCCCGCCTGGTGGAGCGCCACCTGGTGGAGGTGGAGATTCTCGTGTATAGGATCCTGTACAGCAACACCCTGCTAGCCAGTGATCTCAGAACTGGAAATATAACATCATGGCACTCAGATGACCACTACTGTGGGCTTTTCTCATGTACCAGTAGTTTTGATTCAATCACATTAATTCCTGCTGTTGTGTGTGTGTGTGAATGTGTTATTTTAAGCATTTTATTACATTTATACCTAAAATGCTGACTCAAAATGGCTTGATAAGAAGACAATTGTGTTTATTGAGGTTTTGATTTTGAGATGGAGCTTTGTAAAGATGTTTCATTGTTTCTCTCAGTTGCTGTGAGAGCAGCATTGTGCTAATTACATGGAAAAATAAAGGTATTACTTATTATAACAGGTCTTCAGTGGTGCTTAATCACTCCAGCTCATCCCAGAGATGTTTTATGGAGCTTTATCAGTCCAGCTTATCCCGAAGGTGTTTAATACAGCTTCAGTCCAGCTCATCCCAAAGGTTTTTATTCAAGCTTCATGACTCCCAACTCCTCTCACTGGTGGTCAATAAAGCTTCATCAATCCAACTTATCCCAGAGTTCAGTGAAGCTTCGTTACTCCAACTTATCCCAGAGGTTTTAGTGGGGTTTAATCACTCCAGGTCATCACAAAGGTGTGTTAGCAAAGATTTGACACTCCAGAGAACGCAGTTCCACTGCTCCACAGGCCAATGCTAGCCTCTTAGTGCATGGATGCTCCAGAGCATCACACTGGACTTCTGGACCTCCAGAGCTTTTCTGAGGAGATAGTGAGGCTATGTAAATAAAAATGAACACCTGTGTGAGCAATCGGTGTGTTTTAAAGGAGCTTTTCAAATTTTTCCTTTTTTTTGTTTTTTGTTTTTGTTTTTGAGATGATATTTTGACTGAAAATTCATTATCAAAATGATGGTGATTTTGTGGCTGGAGGGCATTGGGAGGCAAACAATAACAATAATATAATAATAAGCTTTATTTGTATAGCACCTTTCATACATAAATGTGCTCAACATGCTTCACAGAGGATTAAAAGACAAAAAGGTACACAATTAAATAAGATCATATGAACAAAAGCAGGGAGAAAATAAGAACATTTAAACAAGAACCAATAATAATGCAGGTATAGTAGTAATATAAAATACTACTACTAGTAGTAGTAATAATAGTAGTGATAATAATAATGTCAATGATAGAAATGTAAAAATTGAATTATGTAATAATAATTTACTAAGTATACAATATGTGCAGTAACACTAGTATTAAAAGTATGTTAAAACAACGGAGACATGATAAACGAAGTTGGTATACTGATGTTGTCTGTGTTATCTCTCTTAGTAAACTTGTTAATGTTTGGTACTTTAGAACAGTTTGGAAAAAACAGGCACAGGCAGTCCATCACGTATGATGGTGCCGATCCATGTAATGCTTTAAGTAGTCGTATCTTTAAAATCTGTCCTAAAGGAGAGTGACAGCCAGTGTAATGAAGCCAGAATTGCTGTGATATGTTCTCTCTTGGGTGTTGCTGTAAGCACTGGTTGCAGCATTTCTGAACACGCTGTAACCATCTTTTTTGGCAAACCACTAAACAGAGAGTTACAGTAGCAGGTAACACTTTCTTTGGACGGTCCACTTTAGATGCTTTGTAGATACTTAATTTACTTTCAAGTAACATTCAACTCAATGTCTACTAAATTAATCATGATTTTCTTTAACTCGAAATCCAGCTTCAATCCTAACCCCAACCTTATCCTCAACCCAAAACCTAAACCCAACCCTCACCCTGGTCCAAATCCTAACCCCAACCCACCACTGTTTAGTTTTTCAACAGATAGTTTGTTAACAATTTGAACATCTGTAGATAATCTATAGAGTACAGAGCCCCACTGGTGACATCCTGTATAAATAAAAATAATGCGTGGCCACGACTTAGTAAGGTGTGGTAATGAGATGATTATGTTGTGGACACGACTTAGTAAAGCGTGGGAACAAGATTCAAATTAATCAATCACCCATTGTAGAACTGACTCTGTGTTTTTCCTTTCTTTCTTTTCTTTGCCGAGTTGAACAGCTGCCCATCTTGTGGGTCTGATGCTGCTGCCTCTTCTGCCTTGATCCGGGTGCCACTGCTCATTGTGCAAAGCTCACCCCCACAACCTGACCCCACTGATGCTGCTGCTGCTGCTGCATGAACTAAACTAATCAAATTAATCGTTTGCTCCACCTGTTTTCCCTGTTTTTGTACTATAATACTTTATACTAACAATGTTTTACTATCCGGTGTCGACCAGAGGAGGATGGGTTCCCCTTCTGAGTCTTGGTTCCTCTCAAGGTTTCTTCCTGTTTCTCTAGGGAGTTTTTCCTTGCCACTGTCGCCACTGGCGACACTCATGGGGGCTCGGACCTGGATTTCTTTTCTTTTTAATGCTCATTTCCTTGTAAAGCTGCTTTGTGACAACACCGGTTGTAAAAAGCGCTATATAAATAAACTTTACTTACTTACTTACTTACTTAATGCGTGGCCACGACTTAGTAAGTCGTGATCTCGTTCCCACACCTTACTAAGTCATGCCCACGCCTTACTAAGTCACACATTATTTTTATTTATACAGGATGTCATCATCAGGGCTCTGTAATAGGGGACTATAGTGGACTATCCAAATAAAGTGAGACCCAGTAGTCAAGTACATGAGAAAACAAATGCATGCGTCAGTTTCTTATCATCATGCAGACTAATATATGGTCTAACATGAGCAAACGGCAGTTTGAATAACGTTCTCAATGTGTGCTTTAATTCAGAATCAAACAGTTCACCCAGATTCCTCACTACTGCTTTAACCAGTGGGGACAGACTTCCTTAATTACCCTCATAATTTTATCTGTTTTAGCATTGATCCCAATAAGAAGAATTTCAGTTTTTTCTGCATTACGTTTAAGGAAATTTCTATTTATCCACTTAACAATATTGGCTATGCAGTCTGTCAGAGCATTTAGAGCAGTGGTGCTGTTTGGCTCAGCATATGTGTAAAGCTGGATGTCGTCTGTGTAGCTATGGAGATGTTATAGACATCGTGACCCCTGGTTCCTATCACCACCACTGTAAAGAAATCTGAGACAGTAAGTTTCTCTACAGTGAATCATGTCACATCAATCCACTCTGAATGACTTGGTTTACATCACAACAGTTCAGTCGTGCCGAAATTTTGAAAACTTGATGGAATTCCCCTTTAAACAGACTAACAGGAAAGGGCAGCTGGATGCTTTTGGGCAGGTATCCGTGTCACATTTTATCTCCACGTGTTCTACCCTTTAATGCAGATGTTAGATTGATGAACCATTTGACTCAAATGGGGTCTTCAGTCATTGAACTGTAAAGGTGGGTCCCTTCAGGCAGAGATGGCACCACAGCACCCTCACCATGATTCATCGAGCTGTGAGGAAAGCGTTCCTGATCCTTTCACACAACTGCAGAATTGCCTAGTTTCCTGCTGCAGTGAGTTTGTTGTTACCTCTAGATTCTTCACATTATAACCCTGACATTGCTTTCACTCTAAGTAGCCACTGAGTCGTGGCGGCGCTCTGGTGGAGTGGACCTTATTACACCGGTTCATTTTCAGGTGAACTCCATCACCACTTTTCTTTCAAAAACAATATTCTCACGGCTTCAGCTGTTCGACAGCACTATTAAGTCCTGTTCCACATTTCCAGAACTCAGTGTTCCTTGTGCTAGTCTCAGCTTTTCAGCACACGTTGCCTTTTTCTCGGACACGGCGTCCTGCGCCTCTAATGGATGTAGCAGTACGACAGAGTGGGTTGGCTCCAGCAGAGCTTTGGAGGAAAAGGTCGGTGTGCTGGCCGGCCAATCGTCGAGCTGAAAGAAGTCAGAGTAATATATGTCAGAGTTATTTCAGTATATGTACAGCGTATACATGCATAAGTCACTTATACATCTAGAATATGCCACACTCTTAAAAAAAGACAGTTCTTTAAGGGTTCTTTAGTAAAGAAAATGTTCTATAAAGAACGATAAACACTCAAAGAATGATTATCATGGAAGAGTTCTTCAGAATGTGTTGTAGATGGCTGTATAGAACCTTTTTAAAAAGGGGGTTCATCTATTGTTACTATGTCAAGCTTGTAACAATAGAAGAACTATTTTGAGTGCTATATAGAACCCTTTTCAAAGAGGTTATATAGGGCTTTATATATAGAACCATCTACAGCACATGCTCCATCATTCTGAAGAACCCTTTCATAATGCTTCAATGTAACAATTCAAGAATAATGTACAAAATATCATTAAAAGATTCAGAAAATCTGGAGAAATCTCTGTATGTAAGGGACAAGGCCACGATCTTTGGGCCCTCAGGCAGCACTGCATCAAAAACAGGCATGATTCTCTAGTGGAAATTACTGTATGGGATCAGAAACACTTCTGAAAACCGCTGTCTGTGAAAACAGTTTGTCGCTGCATTTACAAAAGCAAGTTAAAACTCTAAAATGCAAAGAAGAAAGCATATATAAACATGATCCAGAAATGCTGCCACCTTCTCTGGGCCTGAGCTCATTTAAAATGGACTGAGGGGAAGTGGAAACTGTTCTCTGCTCCGATGAATCAACATTTGAAATTCTTTTTGGAAATCATGGACACTGTGTCCTCTGGGCTAAAGACCCCTCAGCTTGTTATCAGTGCACAAATCAAAAGCCAGTATTCATGATGGTCTAGGGGGGCATTAGTGCACATGGCATGGGTGACGTGCACATCTGTGAAGGCACCATTAATGCTGAACGATAAATACATGTTTTGGCAACATATGCTGCCATTTAGACTACATCTTTTTCAGGGAAGGCCTTAATTATTTCAACAAGACAATGTCAAACCACAGACCTGTCACCACTGATAACATTTGGCGCATTATGAAATGAAAAACACAACAAAGGAGATCCAGAACTGTTGAGAAGCTGAAATTCTATATTAAACAGTGGTAAATATGCCCCTGTCCCAACTTTTTTGGAACGTTTTGTAGGCATCAAATTCAAAATGGGCACATATTTTTCAAAAAACAATAAAATTTCTCAGTTTCAACATTTGATATGTTGTCTTTGTATTTTTTTCCTTTAAAAATATGGTTCATAAGATTTGTATATCATTGCATTCTATTTTTATTTACATTCTGCACAGCATCCCAACTTTTTTGGAAATAGGGTTGTATTTATACCAAATTATTCCAGTGTTGGGGTTCAAAATTGAACTTATGTTTATACTCACCAGTGCACCAGGCAGCGCTTCTTTATGACACACAACCTGCCTGAGCCGTGGACCGCAGTGTGGTAGCCTCCAGCCCAGGGCCAAAGCAATGGCCACTGCTATCAACACAGCAACACTCACAGTGACAGGCTTATGCCAGAGGGACTGGTGTCCTAGTCCGAAAGGAAACATTCAGCTCAAGCAGTTTAGGGCAGTTATGTAAGGTTAGGATTACACTGGCCATCAAAAGTTTGGGGACACCTGCCTTTTTGCTACACCTGCTACTTAACTAAGCAAAATGCCTGCAAATAGGGCTGGTCAATATGATGATATCTATTGTAATCATGATAAATGAATTGACAATATGTCACAATATGCTCGCCTGAGTATGTTGTGTATATTAGAAGTACTTAAAGAACACCAAACAACTGCATATTTTATTAAAAAGAAGTATTATTAAACCTGTTTAAATGGATTTAGTGCAGCATATGAATATGAATATGAAACTGCTGGTTCTGTTTGTCCATTCCAGCTCACCAGATGTAAGAAAAAAATATCGTGACATATCGTCTATTGTTAAAATTGATTTAAGTATCATGATATATTTTTGCCATATCGCTCACCCCTACTTGCAAAGCCTTACTGATCGTAAAGCAGTGCTAACCCTTTGGGATTATTTAGCTTCAACACTCAGCCTCACCTTCATTGAAGTGTCCTCTGCGCTATGAAGAGCAGATTTCCCTAAATAATGATTTGACAGATTTGTTGAAAGCACACCTTGCAACCCATTTGGCCCAAACAGCTGAAAGGTTTGAGTGCTGACATAGCAAGGGGGTCAAAATGTGTTGACTTTTGCTTTATTCCGAAACTAAGACTGACATTTTTTCAGTTGTTTCTTCGGTTTTGCAGTTTATGAGGAGAAAAATAACGAGATTTAACCAGCGTTTAATGTACTAAGCTATTACGAACAAAGAAAACACGCTTGTAAAGCTGGACGACCCCAAACTTTTCACAGTTCACTAAAGGGACACAGTGTAACTGAGACTCACTCAGTACAGAGACGCAGTGCGTTTCAGTGCTGCTGGATTTGTTGATGCTCTCCAGCAGCGCCTCTGCTCTCACACAGTGGGTCCCTCCGTTTTGCTGGGTGTCGAAGGAGAAGTGATACGGTTGAGCTCTGATCACTTGACTTGAAGCCTGGAAAGAGGAAAGCTTGATTAGACTCAGCAGCGGATCTGTCAATATAATTGTAATGTTGGCAGAAACAAAGAGGCAGGATTCAAATGCAAGTCCTTGGTTTTATTAAAAATCCATTCCACAACGATGACAAAACAAAGACAGAACACTCTGAACTAAATACTGGAACATGAAGAAAACCAACGACAGAGGGACATGAGGAAACTAAAAAAATACTGAGATAACCTCAACAGGGCCTGAGAGAACAAAACACCAAGCATATATAAATACACATAGAACAGACCAGAAACACCTGAGACTAATGAGAAGGTGGGGCCACAGACAACAGACGGGTGAGTCGGATAACAAGAAGGGAGGAGACAAAGACCAAAACAACAAGCACATGGAACAAGTAAACAAAGGCTGAAACAGAGAAAGACAAGGACAGGGCAAGACAGGATGTTGCAATAATCAGGATCTGCCTTAAATTGTTAAAGTCAAATGTGCAAAAATGTCCCTTTACCCCAAAAAATGTAGCCGATCGACCAAGACATGTTTGTTGGCATTAGCTTCTTTAGTATTTTTGCTATGGAGCTACTGGGCTAATGAAGCTAACAAGTAAAGAAAGCTTACGTATAAAAATGTGTATATGTAGCATAGCTAAAACCAGTAGTAGCGGTCATGTTGGTTTCATTATTACAGTCTTCTAGATAATAGTCACATATCTAGAACATCGGAACAATGAAACCAAAACTCAATCTAAACAAAGGCCCTAAACAGAGAGTATGAACTGAATATCTCTTCACTGTGAAAGATCCACAGCAGAGACAGATCCTGACCAAGTACAGGCTCAGTGACCACAGTCTGGCCAATGGGCTGATATAAAAAATCCCAGCTGCCCAGAGAGAGAAGAATGTGTGGTCACTGTGAGAGCAGTGAGGTTGAGAGAGCGACACTGCGAAAAATTCAAATTGACATGAGAAAATTCTCCCAAATTTTGAAATCTGAAAAATCTGACCAGTTTTCTTTGGTAAAGGACACAGAACAACATCTCTAGCCCCCCACACCCTGACCCCACTGACCCGCTACCAAACCTCTCACAGGAAATAACATCATGGCTGTTATTTGGTTGCAGGCACGAGCCGTAGGCCATTCGGCAAACGTTAGTCTGATCTTCAGAGTCTGACCAAATCAGACTGAGCCATAAAACTGCCGCAATATCAAGTTTAGCTCAGTTTTGTCAGTTTTTTCCCAGATCAATATTAATGTTGTTTTGTTCCAGCCAGTCTGTAAAGCATCTTACAGCCCATTTAGTTTGGCGAATGGTGCTGGGTTCATTTCTGGTTGATTCCAGGTTATTTAGCTGTTCTTCTGTCACAGCTGCCGACTGAAAAGCTGCTCAGTGGTGATGACAGTTTGGGAATTTAGTGTAGTCTCATCTTCAGAGTCTGACCAAATCGGCTGTCGGTCAAATGTGATCTTAAACAGTGTCCATTTTCTGTTTGTGGCAAAGTAAGAAGTAAAACGTTCAGATGGCTCCTACAGCTGTCAAAGTCGTTGCTTAGCAACGGCATCTCAGTGGAGTGATATAGTGTTTGTGAAAAACTTGTGATGTTATGGCGAAAAAACAGCACAGTTAGAACTGTTCTCAACCAATCAGCTTGCGTGGCCGGAACTAACTGTTGTATAATAATTATCATTATGTTACTGTCATGAATTATAGAATGGCTATTAATTCTACAAAGTGTGTCCAGCTTTGAAGTTTATATGCTTTAACAATATTGTATGTAAGTCATGTCAACAGTTGTCCAGTATGTCGTCCAGGGTCAGAAACTACACGAGCCAGTCTATTTGAGATCACGTAACACCTCGACATGGTGTTGTGGTCACTGTATGATGAATTAAGCGTGCAGTTTAGCACAGTGCTAACTGATACTTGTTAGCTACGCTAGCTTTGTAGCTCCTATGCAAACATAAAGAAGCAAACTTCAGCCACCAAACATGTCGTGAGTCATCTGCCACATTTGGGGTGAGTGGGTCAGTTGTGTGAATACCATATTTCATCATATTCTGATAATTGATAATCTGTTGTGAAGTTTAGTTGATGCTCACACTCTGCTCGTCTCCTTCCCTCCACATGCGGAGGTTTATGGTGATCAGTGGGAGAAGCTCACTGAAGCCCACCTGGATGAGGCTTCCTGTCACAGTCACGCTCATGTTTGGAGCCATCAGCACAGCTGACCAGTGGAGGAAAACAAAAGGTCAAACTGAGGGTGTTTTTAGAAAAAACTATATACTGACATTCTAAAATCGATGATTGGGCCTCATTCAGCAACCGTTCTCAAGAAGACATTTCTTCTTAAAAACCTCTTAAAAATTATGCAGTTATTATGACGATTCTGACCTTCACCTCTGTGTTCTTATTTGGGATTTGTTCTTAGGTGAGAACAGAATCTACACACTTAAGAGCACGAAGGTGAGAACAGTTCTGCGCTTTAAGAACTCGTCATAAATCTGGACTTTTTCTCAGGACCTTTTTTACAAAAACAGTTTTATGAACAAACTTAGGGAGGTATTAGTGAATGAGGCTCATTGGGTTCAATAAACTGAAGTCTGATTACAGATAAATGTATAAAATTATTCTAATATGCTAATATGTAGAAAGTTTAAATAATTAAAATGTTTAGTTTTGGCCTGTTTCAAATTGATATTTGATGATGTATTTCTGGAAGAGCAGAATGTTTAGGTGATGCTGAGTTACTGCTCGAAAATATATGCATTTTTGCTCCTTTTCCTACATTTTTAAGCCTGTAGAAATAAATGTATATTTCTCTGTAGTTCTAATCAATTTATACATTTTAAAGATGTTTATGTGTTGGCATCTGAAGACATACAAAACAAAGAATATCAGCTCATAATTCCCATATTGGAGCGTTCCTAATAAAATAAACATCCAGAATGAAGTTCTAATTAAATGAATATCCAGAATGTCTTGTATTTCAAAAGTAATGGTCAAATCTCAAGACAGATAACTTTAATAGGTAACTACAATGTACTGGTTATCACCGAATCATTTAATAATGTCTTGCTAATTTCAAAAACCTTATTGAATTAAACATCTAAAAAATAGTTTATTGGGAAATATTATTAGATAAAATAATAAGTGATTCTAGTCCTTTGATAGTGTATTGTAATAAGAATAATATGACAGTATTGTAATAAGAATAATGTGACGTCAGTGTTTGTGTGACATTGGTGTCAGAAGTATCCAGAATGCCTAACTGTTTCTGCGGTTGAAGGTTGATGGAAGTTGTGTCCATGAGGTTTGTCCACCGCATTGCGCTTGGACACCGACACTGTAATCAGAGTCAGATCCGAGGTCAAGGGTCAAGTCACACTCGGTCTGAACGATGTCCTGGCAGTCATACGCGTCCACCCAGCTTCCATTCAGCATGTCTGTTTCATACTCCCTGCAGGAAAGTGAATAGAATTACTAGAGTTACTGTGGACATGATTTAACTTTTTTTATCTTAATAGTTCATGTCTCTGGTCATATTAAGCAACGTTCATCGGGTCATTTTTTAAAGACAAAATTCTTGTTTTCCTGTAATCTTCCATCAGAATGTAACAATTTTTTCCGACTCTAAAACTTTTTGAGTTTTGATGAGGTCACTGTGCACCAGCAGACGGGGCAAAATAAAATGAACCAATAATATTGTATCAACCTGCTACTGGCTGGCTCTGGTTCCGAGGAGCTCCGGAAGCATGGCCATGTAAGCAGCCATGCACAGAGGCTCATGGTAGGCGCATGCACTCCTAAAAATGGACTTGTTTGTTAATTTCACTGTTTGTTAGTTAAAGGTATGTGTTTATTGTGTTAATCTGTGTCGGGAGAGGGTGCGTGGGCATTTTGTGTTGGAGGTTGGTCACTGTGACGGTGAACTCTGTGGCTAGTGGTGACCTCCCCTTGTGAGTTCAATGCTTTGTATGTGCCTTTCTGCCCTGGTGTTTAATAAGGGGCACTTATCATGGTGGAATCATGGTCATCCCTGTGTATTACTCTACGCCGATGCTACAATATGACATTTCACCTTCCACCTCCCTACACCCCAACCTCAGCTAGCTCAGAGACCCTCCATCATACTGAGTTTATATCGTAGTGAAGAAGGAAAATGATGGTCATTTTTTCTTTCTCAGGTTGAATTAAGTTAAATGGACAGAGTTTTGCAAACATGTCATCGCTGTCAAAACCTTGTAACCTATACACCCATACAGAGTGGACCAAAAGAAGTGGAACTACAGAAGGGGTCCAGACAGAATGGACCAAAAGAACTGAAACAACAGAAGTGGTCATTACAGAGTGGACCAAAATAAATGGAACAACAGAAGTGGTCTGTATAGAGTGGACCAAAAGAAGTGGTCATTACAGTGTGGACCAAAAGAAGTGGAACAACAGAAGTAGTTCATATAGAACGGACCAAAAGAAGTGAAACAACAGGAGTGGTCATTACAGAGTGGACCAAAAGAAGTGGTCATTACAGAGTGGACCAAAATAAATGGAACAGAAATGGTCTGTATAGAGTGGACCAAAAGAAGTGGTCGTTACAGAATGGACCAAAAGAAGTGGAACAACAGGAGTGGTCATTACAGAGTGGACCAAAAGAAGTGGAACAGAAGTGGTCATTACAGAGTGGACCAAAAGAAGTGGTCATTACAGAGTGGACCAAAAGAAGTGGAACAGAAGTGGTCTGTATAGAGCGGACCAAAAGAAGTCGTCATTACAGAGTGGACCAAAAGAAGTGGAACAACAGAAGTGGTCATTACAGAGTGGACCAAAAGTGGACCAATAGGAGCGGTCCATACAGAGTCAGAAACAACATAAGCAAGTCTGTACTCACCCCTGAAACTTTACAGAGTAGTGGACGGTACTGCAGGCTGCCTGCAGGGGGCTCCACTTCAGCAGGTGTCTCATATTCACAGACTGTATTGAGAGGTTTTGAGGGGCCGGCAGCAGAGATGCATCTACAAAACGATGGGGAATATTGAGATGGTTTTCTTTTTGTTTTACTTTATATTGATCACATGGCTGCTTCTTATTTTGGTGCTTGTTTTAAAAAATTGTATTATGCTTCTATTACACAGCTCTGTCAGAGGTGGCAGTAACTACTACTCAGTTACATGTACTAAAGGAAGTATTTTGATGGATTTGTGCTTTCCTAAGTATTTTTTTTCCTAAGTACTTTTAACTGCTACACAAATATATTTGTGAGGACAATAATCTACATTTTATTCGGTTACAATTTAGTTGTTAACATTAAGTTACTTTCTTTGTTTGGGGTTTCATTTTTGTTTTTTTTGGTTCATCTCCTGTGGCCGCCAGTATAAACATCTTAAGTATTTGTCTTAGGTTAGCTTAGTGATTTGCATAATTCAATGGTTAAGATGCAAACAGAGTCATTCAGAGTGGTTTGGTGTGAAATGGTTGATTGTAGAGACTCTTTACAGTGGTGGTGATAGGAAGCAGGGGTCACCATGACTCCAACACAAATATAGCCATTTTATTTACTATACAGAACCACCAGTGAACCAACACGAGTCTTCTGAGTTTTTCTATGGAATGTTGATGATGGTAAAATAGCGGAAAATCTGAGAAAATACACTTTCTTTGGGAACTAGTTTGTCTCACAGTGCCCTGCATGTATCCCCCACAAGAATGAATGTTTAAGGCCAATACCTCCTCGAAACTATCATTAAATAATCGTAAATAATGGACGTCTGGTTCCTATCACCACCACTGTGAACAAATATGACTCTGTAAGTTTCTCTAAAACTGAGCATTTCATACCAAACCAACTCAGAATGACACTGTTTACGTGTTAGAATAGAATAGAATAGAATACTTTATTGTCCATTTCATTTACACAAAACGGAATTTTATGTAAAACACAACAAAAATACAACCCTTAACATTTACAATACAATTTAGAAATATTTACATTTAGCAACAGTTACAAATATTAAAGAAAAAGGAGACGAGGGAACAAAACAGTTTCACAATATACCACAGATAAATAAAAGTACATATGGAAATGAATTCTCTAAGGAATTAGGTGAACCCACGGGGAATAAAAGTGTGGAGGTGCTGTGTCCTTCACTCTGTTCTCCTCCTACATGGCCTGCTGTTAGTGTGTGTGTCTGTGTGTGTATGTGTTTGTATATGTGTGTGTGTGAGGTTGGACAACATGGACAGGCTGCTGACTGGCTACAGCTGCTAAAGGAGAACCCTACACTGGACACTCTACACTACTCCCACAGACAGTGTACAGAGCCCAGAGGCGAAATTACATATGAAACCACACATTCCACACATATATACTATATGCTGACAGTTTATGCATACATCTCTGATGGTAATCATCTAAATACATTGATATCATCTAAATACATTGATAAATACATTGAGAAAATATGTTCTTAATTTCAGGTTGTTCATCTCCTATGATCTTACTAGGCTGGTTTGTGACCCATGACAGTTTATTTTTCTATTTGACTGATAGGTTTCCATACCATGATACAATATTAAATGTGAGGACACTTTCAGTAAGTGATCTATAGACCATGGTGAGAGTATGTTTACTAGTGTTAAAGCTCCTTAATGTCCTGAGAAGAGCAAGGATTTCTAATGTATATAATTCACATTATCCTGAAAGGCAGAGTTTTTTATCAAATGCTGTTCCTGAATGAGTGATTTGCTCCACTTTCTGACCCTTTCTACTGACTGGCAGCTGAAGTGCCCTCTTTCATTTTGCCTCCTATGCAAAGCTATATACACACACAATATCTATTCTAAATACTGTCGTATCTCAGGGGTGTGTTTTGTCCCCTTTGTTGTTCTATACATAGAAATACAGAACAACAAAGGGGACAAAACACAGCCCTGAGATACGACAGAATTTAGAATAGATATTGTTAATGTGGACTCGCTGGGGTCATTCACTCAGGAACTCTTTGACTTAGTAGACCAAAGTATTACTGACATTCAAGCTATGCAAGCACTTTAAAGAAGAATGTGGCTGAACTGTCTTAAAGGCTGCAGAAAAATCCACAAAAATGTGAATTAGTTTTGTTCACCGCTGGTGAACTTTGTCCAAAGGAATATACGTAAATAAGTATAATCAACCTCATGGTTAACTTGATACTGCATGGGATCCATACATTCACTTATGTGAGATAAAAGGTCCTGCTGAACTAGGTGCTCCATGCTTTTACTACATAATGATGTGAGGGCAATAGATGGAAAATCAATTAAAGGTGCAGTGTGTAAAATTAAGTGGCATCTAGCGGTGAGGTTGCAGAATACTCCTCCCTCACCTCTCCCTTTCCAAGTATGTAGTAGAACCTGTGGTCCAGTTTTTGCTTCTTTGATGATGAGGGTTCACCCTCCCTCACTTTTTCATGTGCTAAATTATAAGTATGATCATCCATTTATCAAAAGTCGGGCTCTCAAACTTCTCACAAGACAAAATGGTCAGCCATCACTGATGCATCTTCTTCCTACATCTTCCGATGCTATAGCGCCACCAAATCTAAGCTGCGTCTTCAAACTAAAAATGTGAAAGGTGCTCTCTAGAGCCAGTGTTTGCTTTGACCATTCGGGCTGCTGTAGTAACATGGCAGCCTCTGTTGGAAGAGAACCTTGTACACTAATGAAAATATGGTTTTGTATACTATATTCCATTTCTGCTAATAGATACCCATACATGTTACACACTGCACCTTTAATGCTTTAGCTTGAGATGTTTTGGGCACTGGAACGATTGTGACCACTTTCCAAGAATGAGGAATAAAGCTTGCATTAAGAAAGATTTGGAATAGCTGAGTGAAAATCCTCATTGCAAAGCACATTGCTTAAATTTAGCTCATCTGGACCAGGGGCTTTATGAGGATTAGTCTTTCAAACACAGAAATCACCTCCTGCTTCTGTAAAATCATGCAACTAGGAGCCACTTCAACACAAGCAGCCTCACACTTTACTAAAACCATGCCTAACAAATCTTGAACAAAACATGTGTCTGTGGGACACATTTTTTTAATGTTTACCAAAAGAAAAAATGATGATTTATTATTATTTCAACCTCAGATTTCTTGGCCTTTGCTCACTTTCTGTGAAGAACATATAAAATAACCCATTTTCAGTGTCTTCACTCTGTTCACCCCCCACACATTTATATTACACATGTGGTGTTGGGTGAACCCGCAGGGAATAAAAGTGTGGAGGTGCTGTGTCCTTCACTCTGTTCTCCTCCTACATGGCCTGCTGTTAGTGTGTGTGTGTGTGTGTGTGTGTGTGTGTGTGTGTGAGGGTGGACAACATGGACAGGCTGCTGACTGGCTACAGCTGCTAAAGGAGAACCCTACGCTGGACACTTGTGATATTTTAAAGATCTGGTATTTTTACATAAACTGTTATGGCTGTGTTGATTAAAAAACAATAATGCGGTGGGTCCAGCAGACCACTGAGTAACAAACACATCAACACCACACAAGGGTTAAGTCGATTTTTTTAAACTTCTAAATTTGTACTTCTCTAAAGTTGTTAGTTGAGTCATTGCAGTAACAATACTTTTACGGGAGTAGAGTAAGACTACTCCACTCCCACAGACAGTGTACAGAGCCCAGAGGCGAAATTACATATGAAACCACACATTCCACACATATATACCTGCTGACAGTTTATGCATACATCTCTGATGGTAATCATCTGTGTTTTCCAGTGCAGATAGATATGAATCTCACCACATTGTAGCACAACACACCTCGAATCCACATTCAAACTGTCAGAGAAACAGCTCTAACTTGATTTGCTTTACTAAAGCAAAAACAAAACTTGAGCGGGCCTATTGGGGGTCTCTTTAAGCCAGGCATGTCAAACTGGGGACCTTCCGGGCCAAAGTGCTGAGAAGATTAGCATGTACCCTCATCTAACACTCTGAATTCAGTTCATAAAGGCCTTGCTAATTAGCTGACGAGCTGAATCAGGTGTGTTTAATAAGGTAGTGCGCTGGAATCTCCAGGAATGGAGCCTGACACATGTGCTTTAAGCGATAGGCAAAAAAATCGAATTTTCCCCAATGTAGTGGATCAGCCAAGACAGGTTTCATGTCTGAAGTTTGCTTCTTTAGTTTTGCACTGTAGCTACGAGGCTAATGTAGCTCATGAGCTTAGTTGTATTTTAATTTTTCTCCATTTATGACATTTATGTGTCATAAAAACAGCCATAATTCACTTTTACATGAACATTTTCCAGCCTCTCTACAAGATTCAGAATTAAACTGTTTTTGTTACTGTGCCTTTAAAAGACTGATATATGTAAATGAGCTCTGTTCTGATTGGTTGTCCTGTATTGATGGGTGGGAGCTAAACTGCTGTAGGCGTATATTCGAGAATGTCTTGGGTTTCATAAATTTTCAAACTTGTTTATAAAGAAAGAAAACTCAGTTTTCAGTGTTTCATAAGCATTAGACTTACTAATGTGCTGTATGAAATACTGTTGTTTATAAAAAATGTGTTATACTGTGTCAGAAACCACCCTTTAATAGCAAGAGGATAGTGGTCCACTGTCGGCCCGCTAATGGCAAAGCTAGCAGTCCACTGGCATTTTGCTCAGCGTTTTCTGGGCGGCCCATCAGCGGTTAAGCAGAGTATTGGACAAAATTCCACTTATCATCACTCATTTTCCACTGACAGTCCAATTTACTGATTTTTCCTTACTTCCATTCATTAGTTATGCTTTGCACATTATTTTAGTATATAATTTAAATCTAGCACAGTGTCAGCAAAAGCATTTTCTATAAAATCATTTTATATCAGGCCTGGTCATTATTTTTTTTCTCTCAGTTGTTTGTAATATTTGTCTAAGTTTATTTTTTAAAATAAAAGTCTCTGCATTTAAAATCTGTTTGAAAAGATTAAAACTAGTTAGAGCTTGTATGCAGGACAGTAATCAGGGTGGTCCGACGGTGGACCAGCAATGGCAAACATTCAGCGGAGTGCCAACCTTATCAAGCCATCGGACCGATATATGCTCACTATCTGGGCAGAGATGCACTACGCTCAAGTCCGCGGCGCGTCTTCAGTAGAGAATTTTAGTTTTTGCTGCAGGCATTGCATTGTACGAAAATAAATCCTAATAAACCTGTCAGGTTAAACATTTCAAATAACAGGACTTTTATTACAGAAAAGCCTTCAGACTGAAGGACGTTTAAAGGGGGCTAAACAGATATAAACTGTTGATTAGTAGTTTATATAGCATATTAGCTAGCTAGCGGAATAACTAGTCTAGTCAAACTTTATTTGGTTCGAAAGGAATGTGACCCTTAACTTCTCCTAAACCTCCAGATAGACAACCTTAGCTATAGCTAGTATACTTGCTATCCAAACTACATGCTAACCAGTGGTTTCAAGTTGTTTTGCCTCTTTCCTATAAATACTGCATTTACAGCATGAAGTGCTTCATTCTATCCATCAGACTGAAGGTTTTTCTGTACAGAAAAGACTCGTTATTTGAAGTTGTGTGGAACCTGATGCCGCTGAGAGCTGCAGGAGAACTGCGCTGCGGTAAGGACTGCATGACCATAGCAAAACTGACAGACGCAGTCCGGTTTTTGAACTAAAGGTTTTTACAGAAATTTCACAGGTCATCAATCAGTCAACATACAGCTCAAGTCTGAGTTGTTGAACCTGCTAGAAAAACCACCAGTAAAACCAGCATGTTGTGTTCTGGATGCTGGTATGCTGGTCAGCAGCAACGCAAGCTGCTACGCTAATCCCTAGAAAAATCTGCATGTCGTCGCTGTCAGAATAAAACCTCATATCTCCAAAAAGCTAACTTTATAAGAGAAGGGAAGAATATCTTTAACTTTTAATGGAAACTGAGAGAGTAATTATTTATTCCAAGTCATTTTGGAGCATTTATGTTGGTCCCCAGATAGCGAGCATATATCGGTCTGCTGGCTTGATAAGGTCGGCATCCTACTAATCGTTTGCCACTGCTGGTCCACCCTCAGACCACCCAGATAACTGTCCTGCATACAAGCTCTAACTAGATTTTAATCTCATAAAAAAAAATTAAATGCACAGAGACTTTTATTTTGGAAAATAAACTAAGACAAATATTACAAACAACTGAGAGAAAAAAAAAATAATGACTAGGCCTCACATAAAATGATTTTATAGAAAATGTTACTGACACTGAGCTAGATTAAAATTTTTTACTAAACTAATTTGCAAAGTATAATAAAGGAAGGAAGGAAAAATCAGTAAATTGGACTGTGAGTGGAAAATGAGCGATGATGAATGGAACTCTGCTTAAACACCGGTGGGCCGCTCAGAAAACGCTGAGCAAAACACAAGTGGACTGCCAGCTTTGCCATCAGCGGGCCCACAGTGGTCCACTATCCTCTTGCTATCAGGGTCTATTCATCATGAAACGTTGACACAGTGTAAAGAGCGGCTGACGACAAACAGCAAAAATGGAGGTACAAGGTTTTGTCCTGACAATGTGTTGTGTTTGGGTGCTGGTATTTGGCATGTGCCGGCATGACCATGCTGGGTGACCAGCTAAACCAGAAGCAAACCAGCACTAGGCCAGCATAAATCAACATAAAGTCACAATCTTTATCTGAAGCCATATAAGCAATTGTGTAATTTACCCATACAGTTATCGCAATGCTAATCAATCCACACAAGCTTTCATGACTTGTTAGCTACATTAGCCTCGTAGTTCTAGTGCAAAACTAAATGAACACCAGACATCATGTCTTAGCTGATTGACTGGAACCATGTCTGAGCTTCAGTACTTACAGTTCAGAGCAATGTTGAGGAGCAGGAGCGTCTGACATCTGGTGAAGCTTCTGGTCCGGACCATAACCTCCCGTTTGAGATGTCTGGAAGCTTCTATTTCTCTTTTCTGAAAGGTTCACCATATGTGCAGTGCCCCCAGCATCACTCTATAGCACCTTATCCCATACTATAAGCTGATGACTGGGACAGAATGGATCTTTTGTCCCAGTGAAAATTTTTTATTTTTATTTTTTCGGGTAAAAACAGAGAAGTGGAGACTGAGTGAGGTTTTCTGTGTTCTCTAGTCCGTATCTGTGTGTGTGTGTGTGTGTGGGAAACGTGAATGTGCCCAAAGGTGTGTGTAAAGGACAGTGTAACTGGTTTGGTGGTATTTCTAGATGAAGTAATTGGAAAATCTCACCTGCACAACTGGTTTGTAAGGCCACGCCCACTGCTCATGTTTTCTAATGCTGTGTGGGATTTATTCAGGAGGCAGAGCTCGTAAAAGGCTGCTAATTGCCCTCCCTTAATGTAATTATGTTTATGGCAGTGTGAACGCCTCCTTGGAGATCAGGCGGAGAGATGCATTAGTGCGAATATGAATGTGCAGCTCTATGCAGAAGAATGTTCTGTAGCGTTTTAAGGAATGTAAAGAAATTATGTTTTTCACAGGCCTAAAAATACTTAAGTAGTTGCACTTGGTTACTATACTTAAATATTATTTTGGACGATTTGTACTTTACTTAAATGTTATTGAGATTGGATATTTTTACTCTTATTCAGCTACTTCAAAGTGTCCAAAATAATACTTAAGTAAGTGTATTTGGGGTCTCTACTTAAGTATTATTTTGGAGGATTTGTACTTTATTCTAATATTTTTAAGATTGAATACTTAAACTTATCTACATTAAATTACAAATCCTCCAAAATAATACTTAATTAAATGTAATTGGTTACTATACTTAAGTATTATTTTGGAGAACTTGTACTTTATTGAAATATTTTTGAGATTGAATACTTTTACTCTTACTTTGCGACATTTAAGTACAAATCCTCCAAAATAATACTTAAGGAATTGTACTTGGTTACTATGCTTAAGTATTGTTTTGGAGGATTTGTACTTTATTTGAGTATTATGGAGATTGAATACTTTTACTGTCACTCATCTACATGAAAGTACAAATTGTCCAAATGAATACTTAAATAAGTGTACTTGGGGTCTCTACTTAAGGATTATTTAGGAGGATTTGTATTTTACTCACATAGTTTTGAGACTGAATACTTTTACTCTTAATTAGCAGCATTAATTACAAATCCTCCTTAATAATACTTTAGTAAATGTACTTGGAGTCTCTACTTAAGTATTATTTTGGAGGAATTGTACTTTATTTTAAAATTTTTGAGATTTAGTACTTTTACTCATCTACATTAAATTACAAATCGTCCACAATAATACTTTAGTAAATGTACTTGGAGTCTCTACTTAAGTATTATTTTGGAGGATTTGTATTTTATTTGAGAATTATTGAGATTGTATACGTTTACCTTTACTTAGATACATTAAAGCACAAATCCTTCAAAATAATACTTAAGTAAATATGCGTAGGGTCTCTACTTAAGTATTATTTTTGGAGGATTTGTATTTTACTTGAGGATTATTGAGATTAAATACTTTAATTCTTACTTAGCTACATTAAAGTACAAATCCTCCAAAGTAATACTTAAGTAATTATATTTGGCTACTATACTTAAGTATAACTTTGGAAGACGTGTACTTTACTGGAGTATTACTGAGTAACAAAAACAGCCTGTTTAATTCTGAGGGATTAGGGGAGGTTGTAAAATGGTTATGCACAAACGAATTATGATTGTTTTTGCTACATAAAACCACACAAATGTGGAAAAATGGAAAAAAGAAAAAAAATAAATACAAGAACTCTGTAAGCTCCTTTAAAGCCGATTGCAACACCACAGAAAGCTCCTCCTTCAGTCTAGAACATGCCGTTCTCTGCATATCTGCATCTTATAACGTTTGCTGTACCCCTTTTCGTCCAGCAGATGTGGACAGAGAGGGAGCTGTGAACAGAGACAGTGAAGTCAGAAAGAGTGGACAGGCTTTTAGCTCATGAACTTTGAGCTTTAACAGTGATCAACCATTAACTAAAGCCATAAAGCCATAAAGCTTTAAGGTTTGAAAAACCCAACCTGGTTTCTGACTCTCTTTTCACTGTGAAACCAAAACAGTGAAATCATTATGATTCCCAGCCCTGAAACCGCAGGGCTAAACCTCAGTGACTCACCGGATTAGCCTGCAGCTGTTTTGATGAGAACCAGTTACTGTTTATTAAATATTTCAGGACTCTAATTATCTTAGTAATGAATCTTAGACATTACACTTTTCTTCGTGTCAGTCAAAAATGTCCAGAGATTTTTTATGTTATGACTAATAGTGAATTCAATAAGCCTCCATCGTCCATCGTGCTGTCATATAAAAACTTATATCTTGTTGTTTTATTCACTTTTTTTCATTATTTTAAAACTCCAGCTATCCTTTGAATTAGTGAAACGTTTAAGGTAAAGAGACCAACAGAAATGCTTCAGAATTACTTGGAAAAAAAATATTTTTTACATTTATTTACAGTACAAGTTAAGAATGTTTTATCTATATCATGTAGGTGGAGATACAAGTTCATTCATACAGCAATTTCATACACGGCTGTCATTCAAAGTGCTTTACAAATGAGAAAATACAGAGTCAGAAAACACAGAGTTGTAAAAACATGATTAACACACACCCACACACACACACACACACACACACACACACACCTTTTAAGCTTATCCTTCTGGGTTGCGGGGGGGAGCTGAAGCCTATCCCAGCAGTCATTGGGTGGAAGGCAGGATACACCCTGGACAGGTCGCCAGTCCATCGCAGGGCAGACAGACAGACATACACATTCACACTCAACAAACCCCACACAGAAAGGACCCTGGTCGCCCAGCCAGGGAATCAAACCCAGGCCCTTCTTGCTGTGTGGTGACAGCCACTGTGCCACCCATGATTAAAACAACAGATTCAAATTAGAAAATCATTAAATTAAAAATCAAATTACAAATAAAAAGTTAGATTAGGATAAAAGGTGCCGTTACAGAGGAAAAGGGCCTAGAAACGCTAACAGTGTTTTAAACTGAGCTGAAAGCTGCTCACATAGGAGCCTGGATTTAAAGTGTCCAGTGTCGGGGCTCTTCTAATGCTCTCTGTCAACTGGTTCCATTTAAGAGCAGCACAGTTGCTAAACGCTGCTTCTCCATGTTTAGTCTTCACCTTCAGCAGGACCGACTGACCAGTTCCTAATGATCTGAGAGCGCTGCTCGGCTCATATCGCTGAATATGAAATAAATATGCTGGCTCTACACCACTGAACAATTTAAAGAGTCTTAATAATCGTATAGTAATAGTATCTTAAAGTCTATTCTGTAACAAGGTTTTGTTCCAATAGCAACGATATGTTGTGTTTTGGATGCTGGTATTCTGGTCAGCTGTAATGGAAGCTGATATGCTGTTCACCAACAAAAAGCTCATATCTCCAAAATGGTAACTTTACAGGAGAAGGAAAAAACTTACTTTACTTTTAATGTGAGTCAATGGAACCAGACTTTTTTGGAGTAATTCTGGGCCATTTCTTTTGGTCCATTCATCATAACATTTATATACAATGTAAAGGCCAGAAGACATTTTCAAATTATGTCAAAAACTGAAAAATGAAGATACAAGGTTTTGTTCCAACAACAGCGATATGTCGTGGTTTGGATGCTGGTATGACCACCTAAACCAGCACCAGACCAGCTTTAGACCAGCTTAAAAGAGCATAGAATTCATTACAAACAGGTAGTTTTGGTAATAAATCACATAGTTCCTTTTAAGAAGGCTGGTATAACCATTTCCATCCACATTTAGGTCAAAGTATTGTCTGCTGACTCACATGAGTGATCTAAACACTCTCGACCACAAACCCAAAGCAGAACCACTGCTAACATCACTCTGTCTAAATGAATGTAGCAGTTTATAAAATGAAGCGCCACTGCTCATGAATTGAGGAACTGAATAAACATAGTGTCATAAAAAGCAGTAAAACCAGAAATATGGAAGCAATTGTTAAGATTACAAACCAATACAAAAATGTATTGCATTCAAAATGTATTGCAACACATTCTGTTTACATTTTGGAACGTAAAGACAGGACATTGCGACATTTCCTGAAAGGAACATTTCAGTAGTATATTGAAACCAACACTGACACTTTGAGCCATCTATGAAACATACATATGTTAGGCAAGCCTTAGTAGATGTGATGAGTAATTTCAGCCATAAAACCTTATCAGAGTTTCACAGCAGTGGGTTAGCATTAGCAAGTGTGTTGTGGTAGCCTTTTATAAATATGTCAAAGGTATCAGTTACTTAGTTGTCTGGTTATTTAGAGTTTAATACCAAAATTAAACAATTTCCAGGGCCATATAAAGTGCTGTGCAAACGTCAGAGACCGCCCCTGATCTATTTCATTTCCAGTCAAAACAGACGTTAAGTACAAGCAGTTTATTTTTCAGCGTCAGAGAATTAAACAAAAGCCTCAACAACCATATATAATATAATGTTTTCAGCATTTAGTGAGTCACACTTTACCTTTATTACAGCTTCCATTCTTTTCAGGAGACTCACTTTCAGTTTCTCAAAGAAATCTGCAGGAATATTTTTCCAAAAGTTCAGTCTTAGAAGCTGGTTGATCGTTTTCTGAAGTAATCAAACACATTCAGTGGTGTTGAGGTCTGGACTCTGGGGTGGTCAGTCCATTGTTCAGCTTCTTTGTTTGATGTGTCCGTCTCCTTTTCTCAGTGAGGTTCTTCTTGACAGCTACACATCCTTTCAGACCCACAGCGCTGAGTCGTCTTCTCACAGTGGAAGGATGGACAGAAACACCTGTGGATGTTTTCAGATCTGAAGCAGCTTGATTTTCTCCTCTCTCTCAAAGATGAAAGCTGTAAGTGCTGTTTATCTGATGGGGGCAGTTTTGGTGTCTGTTAGGTCTTCCAGGTGGTTGTTAGGAGCCCTGTTTTCTCTGTTTTTTTAGTTTTGGAAACTGTAAGTTTTTGAATAAATAGTGGCCTGTTCAGGTCATGGCAAAACACCCCTGACTCAGTCAATGATCTTATATCAGGATGAATGTATAGATGCAGCTACATTATGTAAGGCTTTCTCTGAAATAGCATGGAAGTGAACTCAGCTGTGTTCTGGCTCTGTTGTGCTCTTCATTTTGGATCCTACATTCTTAAAAACAAAGGTGAAGAGCTTTTCAGAGGAGGACACTTAAGTGCAAAGAACCTCTGCATAATGTAAAGGTTC